ATGGACTGTTAGGAGTATCATGTTATGTAACCTTCTATAAAAGAAATAACTGTGGTTATATTCTAAAATTACGACTCATTGTAAAAAGAAAATAACATTTTGACATTAAACATACAATACCTGGTTTAAAAAAAACAAGCTTTTATACAATAACCCAGGTTGCCTATCTAAGCCTAACCTTACCAAAATTGTCCCCACTCCACCCTCTTCAAATAATAAAAATTGGAATCAAACATTTGTGCTAACTTTGTGTTTTATACATTATTTCCAGAATTAAACTTCATGTGTGTCAATCAATTACATCTGTGGTGCTTTTTTGCTTCTGTTGGGTTAATATCATTTTGTGTTCTGCTTTCCTTCAGTTTTATTACCAACTGGATATTGCCTTTATAACTTACTAACTGTCTTGAAATTATTATTTTTTTGTCTAATATGTAGACATCAAACAGGTGATGTTCTAAGTTTTTTTCCTCTTCCCACTGCAGACCAATGTGGCAGAAGACAGATATATTTTGGTGGGTCAGGTGATCAGGTCAATAAGGGGGGAAAAAGGGAAAGTTAATTCTTTAATTAATGCATGGCCTCTTTGTTGTTGTATAAATAAAGAACCTAACCATATGTTATTTACTGATAAATTAAATGGGATAAAGTGATTCTAATCTTTCATATGCTAAGACAGTAACAATGTTATCAAACCTGAATGATCTGTGATATAATTGTAATATGACTATGGATGAATATGACTGCAAATACTAAGTAAACATTATCTGATGGGGAGGCTTTTAGCTAGGAAAATTCCATAGGTTGTACACCCTGGTATATCAAATACCGTATTTAGACTTTGCACAGCTCAGGCTCATGTATGTCTTGCATTTTGAGGTGGAATGCAGCTTTTGTCTTTGTTACAACACTACTTTTGTCCTGATTATGGGAAGTATGTATGCTTCACTAGAGGTGGACATTTTATAAAGAAGACATGAGATCATTTTAAGGTACAATACTATGTTTTATCGGTTAATTTAAATGGATCTTCATCCATCCATCCATCCATCCATTATCTGACACGCTTGTCCCGAGTGGGGTCGCGAGGGGTGCTGGTGACTATCTCCAGCAGTCAATGGGCGAGAGGCGGGGTACACCCTGGACAGGTCGCCAGTCTTTTGCAGGGCTCAAATAGATCTTGTAATTGTTAACTGTCAGAGTTGGAATAAAATTCTTTCAAACACACAAAAGAAATAGTATCTACTCTGTTTTTAAAGAACAATAGGAAAATAAGAGCGCTAAATTGATACCTTACTTTAAGCTAATATTGCAAGACATTCCCAGCAATTCCAGGTTGAAACCAGTGATAATTCAATGTTAATTTTTAACACAATATTTAATGCAAGTCACATTTCTTACCTGATTGCTCTGGAAATTGGTCTCTCACAAAGTTGTTTGCAAACTCCTTATCAGTTATCTTAAAAAAAGATGTATTGCTTTAGAGATAAAACATGCTGTTTTATCTCCAAAACAGTTAATTTCAGTTCAAGTAAATAACAACTGTTAATGTCCAAAGGGCAAAATTACCGCTCTGTTGTCCACAAATAACATCCATTTATGGATCTTTTGGAAATGAAAACTTCAATTATTATTACTATTATGAGGCATCAGTTTGATATTTGCTACAAATTTAGTACAGATTGCGACCCCCCCCCCCCCCCCTTCCCAGTTGCCCTAAACATTAGCTGTTTTTTCCCCCCAAATATTCAGAGAGTATTGTGCCACACAATAAACAAACAAACAAAAAAAAAAAAATCTATTCTATGTTTATCAGGCATTCAATGAGGTTTTGGAAACTTTTCAAGCTTATCCGATTGCAAACAGTGAAGTGTGCATTTTCACGCAAAGAAGTTGTCTGTAGTGACATTAGATATTCCACCAATAACGGTGTCCATTTGTACTGCGTCACACCGACGTATGACAATAGGATGTGATTCTTGCAATTTGTGAGCTTAGCAGGAAATAACACAAGACTAGAAGGGGAGACCAGTCCAGTGAAGACAGGATCGGCAAAGCTTGAACATTTAAACTAAGTTTCCTGGGGAAAATTAGGTCATCCCAAAGTACAATTTCTAATATTTTTAGTAAAGGGGATACAATGCAGTTTTGCAAAATGTAAAATTTTTGATATGCAACACAGCACCTCCTGATGCAATATATGGTTCTGTTGTGTACTAAAACCAAAACAATATCCTGTGTTTACTGTTTATGCTGCATGTGATAATGCTCGTATTGATGCACATTTGAAACAGTGTGGACTCGCAGATGTAGGGAACATGTAAAAAGTAATGAGAATGGCCACATACAAAAAAAAAATTATTCAGAATTAATCAGATTTAAGCATTTTTACCTGTTTTATGAAAGAAGTAGCCTAATTGAGGCATTTATTTTAGGATATTGTCCCGTGAAGATGCTTACACCACTAGGCTAATTCCTGGTTCTTTTGCCTGGAGTGATCACTCTCTTAACACTTGTTCTTAGTAAACAGCTCTTAACCAACACTTCATTTTTAAACATCACTTAACATAATTCCTACTTTAGCAGAATAAGAATAGAATTTTATAATAATGAGCTGATGTTGTCAGAGTCAGAGAAGTCAAAATGAGCTACGAATTACATTTCCGATGTATTCATATACAACAGTGATATCTATAAACTGCTGTATGTGTCACACCAAGTTGGTGTCTGCCTAATAAAGTATGTTATTATTTAATGTCCAAAAAAATAAAATATAAAAAAAAGTCCAATCCCTACATTTATCATGGCATGCTTGCTCTACACTGCCTCAGGTACAAAGCCACAGACATTTCCCCTTTATCAAACCTGGAACTTAAGTTGAACTGTATTATTATTATATTTAAAGAATATTATATCTATATAGGCTTCCCAGTATCTTACTTTTCTTTTCCCTCTACCTTGTGACTTAGCAAAGAAAATGATTACTTCTATCTTGGAAAAATTGATATCTTGCTTCAACTAATTTGATTCTTGAGGGAGATTAAATGAAAAATAGAATTTATATATTATACTCTGTGTCATGCCTGCCAACATGGGTGGACAACCAGTTCAGTTCTCTCAGGCCAACTTATGGCCAAGAGCACATTTTCATTTTTTACAGTGTTTCTTTTGCGAGAAACACTGTACCTTGTCTTGATATTGCAGGAAAGTTACCCCACCTCCAATAGGAAAAACCATTTGTAAATAATGGGGAAGTATACCTGTCTATTATATTTAATAACCTAGGTATTTTAAGGTTTAAAAAGTCTTTCTATGGATAATACTGCGTTCATTTTACTAATAAACAGGAGCATTTACAAATTTTTTGTTAGCTGCAAGGAAGCTGGGGAGGAAGACTGGTGCCTTAGTTACTTGTTTTGTAGTAGTTTATCTTAGTGAGCTAGTCCTGATAGCTCCACAGCCCACAGGTTCAACATAGTTTGAAATGATATATTTTGACACACCAGCCTTAGAGCACATTGACATACGCTAGGCTGATGTATACTGGGCCCACTGGCCCCCTCTGATCACTGTCGGTCAGCAATGCAGGTAGTGTCTTGCTGTAGCACCTCAATGCTGGTTGCAATGTGGTGTAACCAGGAACCCTGCAGTTGTACTGTAGGAAGAACTCCTGCATCCTAGGCCACCGTCGTTTCTTATTTTGTGCTTCAGTAAATATTGTAAATGTGACTAAAAGTGCTTGCCACATGTTGATTCATATTCTTTGCTGAGAAAAGATTGTAGTAAAAGCAATCTCCATCTCAAAGGTTTGTGTAGAAACAGCCACAGATATTTGAACTGTCTTTCTAATGACTACAATATCCATTCAGGCATAATGTTGCATCTAATTTATCAATTGAATGTGCTTCATTTAAATTAAAACTGTAACAGCCTTAGCTTAAGAACTACAAACAATCATTTTAATAATTCCTTGTAACAATTCAATTTAATAGACCTAACACCTATACCTAGCCAGCTGTTGTAAAAATAGCCAGCCACCTGCAGAAACCATCCACAGAAACTAGGGTTGTTTTCTGGGACCATTAGGAGCTCTATGTGTTTCCACTGCATCTACAATGGTGAAAACAAAATTACCAAGCTAGAACTCTATTCTAGAACTGGTAGGGAGCTTTAACTTTTTCCATTAACCAGGAACTTTTGTATTGAGTTTTTGGGAGGGAGAGTGCTAGAAGTTTTGAAATTGTACATATTTTTTCCCTCCATTATAAATTAGTCATATCCATACAGAGTAGACTACAGTTTATACTCTGTTTTCTGTTAACTTAAGAAGAATTAATTTCGTTTTTGGCACTGTGGTGTAATTCCTTCCTATGTATTGCTATATTCTAACAAGATTTTTAATTGTTTGTTTAGTTAGACAAAACTAGAAAGAGTAAGTTTAATTCTGTTGTGTAGATTCACTGAAGAGACATCTCTTAGGTTTTAACCCCTTAATATATGCGGGTGTTAAAAATCTCCTTTAAAATTTAAATAATTTTATGTAAGTTTTACAGAGTAAGCACTGTAAAATTATTCATCCCTTAGAGACCAATGCTGATCTCTTACTTCTCCTCTCCTTACATCAGTAGGACACCAACGTTTGCATTAATTCCTTGAAATCCTTTTATAATTTGTGACGGTTCCAAATATCAAGGACTTCAGGCATATGGTTGATCTGTTTAAACATCTGAAGTTACCTGAAGCTGAAGACAAGAAATTTAACAGATGCCTCTAATCTTTTCTTTTAATTGCTGTGACAAAACCATCAGTTATAGTCGTATTGCTGAAAATTGAAAAACACTGGTCAACCTGGTTTTTCATCTGGAAACACATGAAGGACATTTTAAAATGCCATTTAAAATCTTGTGCATTATAATTCTGGTAATTGATACATAGTTGATGCCCCTTGTTTTATGTATCCTGTGCTTCTAACTGTAGTTTATTTTCTTCTCTGCAGCATGTGAATTAATGAACCAGGGGATTCTTGCTCTGGTTACATCTACGGGTTGCGCAGCCGCAAGCGCCTTGCAATCTCTTACTGATGCAATGCACATCCCACACCTCTTCATCCAAAGAAATGGTGATGGTGGACCTCGCACTGCCTGCCAACTTAACCCCAGCCCAGATGGAGAGAGCTACACTCTGGCTGCCCGTCCACCTGTTCGCATCAATGACGTCCTGCTGACCCTCGTCTCAGAGTTTCACTGGCAAAAGTTTATCATCTTTTACGAGAGTGACTACGGTAAGCAAAAATACAACAATTAAGCCTATTACTTAATATATATTATAAGCATGAATTCTATGTACCCTCAGTAGCTTTGTAAATGTAAATGATCCACAACCATCTTTATTTCCTGGAGAGATTGAATTTCTAGAATGACAAGCTGAAAGAGTATGCCCAATAGGAAAAACAAACAAACAGGCACTGTGCTTCAAATGTGTGAGCCTGTGTGGAAAACGTTTCCTGTTGTTGGCTGATATGAGTGATAACCAGAGTGGTCTTTTGCATCTACACGCTCTTACCTTCAAGATTTGTTCTTTGCAATTAGAAGCTGTTTTCTGCATACTTTAGCCTAAATGGATGCTTATTCGAGTTGCGGTTGCCTTTTTATCATCTCCAACCCATCTGTCAATTTTCTTTTTACACTAAAAATACCCTTTTATCCACACAATTGCTGTGTAGTGGTTGTGTTCTTTTTTGTTTTTTATTTCTTTTAAACCTGAGAAATGGCTGAGAATAATTTCAGTATTTCAGCAGTTTAAAAAATATACAGACCAAGCTTTCTAGCACTAGTAACTATGTCATATTCTTTCTTCCTCCATTCTAATGTTTTGTTTAAACTTTTAGTAAGTCCCTCTACATGTGTTTAATTTATTTGACTGATTGATTTGCTGTGTGAATCAACAAGAAAATGAAATAATGTAACTTATAAAGAGAGGGCTGAGTTTAAATGTAATGTAGATATGTAGTTTTACACTCTATGTCTTGTTTTTATTTCTCGTGGTTCCATGAAGTGTGCTCCCAACATTTGAAGAATAACCAAAAAAATTAATTTCCCACTGTGTAGAAAGTGTAGGTCTGTAGGGAGATCTGTTCATCTCTATAGTTCCTCTTGCTAACTAACGTGGGGGCTTCTTTTGCATCTGTCATACAAGTCGGGTTAACATGTTTATAAGCATCTGTTTTTGCTATAGCTTTTCCTTATAATTGTCTGACTGTCAGCCTGTGAGGAGCTATCTTGTTACCCTCTTTTGATAACTTAAGTCTGGCATGTTTTTCTAACACCCTTTTTTTTATGAGTCTCTGTGGCTAATTAGTTGCTCGTCTGTCCCACCAGTGAGCTGTTTGTGTATCCATCTGCAGACCAGTGGATCTGTCTGCATTCATTGTGAAACAATTGCCCTGTTGATCTCAGATATAAAACAGTAAAAAGAAAAATATGTTAAGCTGTTATTAGAGTTAAGAAATGAATACATGCAATTGGCGTTATACAATCTTTGAAGAGATCATGTCATTGGTAGAAGTACCCTGTAGCATTGCTTCAAAGAGACAGAGGTTCAGCCAAATAATGAATAAAACCTAGTTGCCTGTGCAAGCACAGTTTTGTTTTGAATGCAAAGTAGATATGGTTTAGCAGAAGGAGACGTGTGTAAAAATGCAGGCCTTTTTGGATTTTAATGTTACAGCATGTGCTCTTGAGAGGCAAACAAGCCACACTGCTGTACTGAAATACATGGTTTTATTTACAGTTAAACTGAAAAAAAATTCAAACAGTCAAGCATATGAATACATAACAAGGTTAAGTTTAAGAAATTCAGGCACTCCGTCTCTCAATGAGAAAAAAAAAGCTGGTTGGTAAAGAGCAATTTGACGTAGAAGCTACTCAAACTGTGGAGCTTTTAGATTGCTATTGGAAGTGCCTTCTACTATAGACATACAGTAATATTTATTTTTCTATTTTCATATTTCTGTTAAATACTTAGGTTCACTCCTTAATCCTACTCTTCCTCAGTAGAACCGAATACCTAACTTCTGTTTGCTTGCTCTGGCACTTAGAACCACTTCTTGTCTACCAACAGTGGCTGCTTATAGAACCAGATATCCCCTTGTTGCATGTGGAGCTGGTTGGTAACTATCCATATAAAATGCATGGTAATAATTGAATGGGATTAGAAAATATCTGCTCAGCTAAAGTTAAACTAACAAATTTTTTGTCTTGTCTTCAGTGTTACAGAGCGATAACGCCTGGTAAGCTGCAGTACTTCAGTCTAAGGCTATGTTCAGACAGCAGCCTGAAGTGACCCAAATTTGATTTGCAACCTATATCTGATCTTTTCATGACAGTCTAACAACACATATCCAATTTTTTTCCATGTAACCCAGGCTTTGTGGTCCTGAATCCGATACATATCTGATCTTTCCAAATGCGACCTGTGTCTCAGCAGCCAAGTTGCTTTCATCCGACCTGAACCCCATTAATACTTCACCCAGGTCAATGTTTTGTGTCTTACTACGCAGAGGAAGGAAGAAAAACAACCGTGGCAGGCGATAATGAACGTTCCTGAAAAGATTGTGTTGTTAAATCACAGACTGAGGTTCAGAAAGAAATGCAAGACTGCAAGATGTTATTTAGCTCTAAAATCCATGCTTCCTTCCATAAATACAGAGCACGCTCGCTTGTGACCTGATTGCGTCCTTAAGTTGTATGAGTGCAGTTTACATAGAAGATCACATATAAGTCGCAAATAGTTGGAAATGTGAACAACCACGCAAAATATCAGATTTCACACAAAAAATCCGAATTGAGCTTTAATGCCTGCAGTGTGAACGTAGCCTTAGAATATCCAACTCCGCAGTCCTACATAGATTTACAGCTGCTATCACCTTGGTTTATTCTTCTTCAGTCATGAGGCATAATTAGTATTAGTTTTTTTCACAAAGAGGGAAAGTACTCTGACACCTCAGAATATTCAAAGATGTAAACTACAACAATTATTCATTTAACAGGTAATCCTCTCTACACAATATTTAACTTTCTCATTAGCACTGATTTCACCCCCTTCTCCTGCTCTGTGCTAAACATGTGATGTGCACATGTAAATATTGAGACAATCTACACATTTTTAACAGGTCGACAATCATTCTCCTGCAGCAGTCACGCTGCACATCTTTCCCAGAAAATGTACTGTTTGACGCTTCATGATTGTTACGGCTACTCTTGCATCAAAAAAGTTTCCAAAAAAATCAAAAATTGCCAGAGTAGTCTTAGGAGGAGTTTTTTCGACTCAAAAAACAAAAAGCACTCGTGGAGAATTTTCTTGTTTCAAAAAAGGGGTGTTTTCTTTACTTATAAAAAATAACAGAAATATTCTCAGAGTTGACTTACAAAAAATTCAAATATAAAGTTAAGTGATGTGTGTGAAAAAACTGTTGCACTCCTCACTCCTTCAAACAAACAATCAGATCCACCTCATCAGCTGCTTCTACTTGTTAATCTCAGCAGGAGGCGGACTGACAAGGAGGAGGGTCAAAGCCAAACCAATACATAGACAAATAAACAATAGCTCTGCCATTCACACAACCTTAGATCTTTAACATTAATAATTTTGCAAAAAATAAATGAATCCAATTCTTAATAGGCTCCAACAATGATATTTTTTTTCATTTTCGTGCTACTGTTTCTTATAAGATTTTCTCTAAAGCTCCAGATAGACTTAAATAGAAAAAAGAGAAAATTCCAATCATACAGTGTCTGAATCCAATGCCTCTGTGTTAAAATAGTTAAAACCTCTCAACAGTTCTGTAAATCCAAAAGGACCCAAATGGTTTCATTTCCTTTTAAAAAATTTAACCTACTTAGCTAGCTGTGCTGAACAACTTCTCTTTTTTCATGAAACTGTAAAAAGTTCATTTCAAATTTCCACGTATATGATTCTAACAACCTTTTTTAAAAGCTTACTGTGGAACAATTACATGAAGGCTTCACATTAGACGTTTTTTTTTTTTTTTTTTTTGCTGCCCAGGAATGGACAGAAATAAATATTGTTGCCATAGTACCAGCTGAAAAATAATCTTTTACTACTTTATAATGTTAACAAGTATATAGTGTCCAACACTGATTAGCATAGTGGTACAGTTCAACTCTACAGCACTGTTTAAAGTTAGTTTTTATATATTCACATATATATACCTTATAAATTATATATAGGCCTTATAAAAAGAAAAAAAAATATATATACAACTTATAAAAAAATATATATGTATATATATATATATATATATATATATATATATATATATATATATATATATATATATATATATATATATACACACACATACACCTTATAAAGCTTAACCTGAGTTATTGTGTGGATGTGGTTTGTTTTTTAATATCTTTATTCTTTTAAATTAATAGTATAAGCCAAGTAATCTTAAATTTATACAAGTTTACCATGTTGCATTTAATTGCTACATGTAATTATATTTATTAATTTAGTTACTCAGCTCACTCTGGGTTGTGTTCTCATCTAAAGCACTATAATGTTAGGCTTAGAAAATAGCAAAGATAATGAAGTTCTTTTTCATAAGCATGGTAGGTCGTTAGGTAGGTAGGCAGCACTTGAGTTTTGAGTTCACACCTGTTTTAAACACTTCTATATATATATATATATATATATATATATATATATATATATATATATATATATATATATATATATATATATATATATATATATATATATATATACACATATATATATATATATATATATATATATATATATATATATATATATATATATATATATATATATATATATATATATACACATATATGTGTGTGTGTGTGTGTTGTTGTATGTCTATAGACCAATTGGTTATGTTTTTTTTTTATGCATAATAACTGAAGTCTTGTTAAAATATTAGACCTCATTAGGGGTATTTTGTTTAAATAGCACTCTGAGTGAGCCTCTCCCTCTGCAGCCACCCAACCAGTCATGTAGGAAATGACTCAAATTTCTAGGCAAGTTAAAATTTGATGTCACACATAAAGCATGTCAATTAGAGTCCCCTTTCTTAATAGCAAGAAGTGTGGACCTACACAAATTCAACATGCAAAAAAGCTATAGAAACTGATAGGGACGCAATTAAAAGATAAGTAGTATTCTTTTGTCTGGTTCTTGCACCTGATTATAGAGACATTCCAGACCACTACCTGTATCAGGAACTGCAACTGT